AAATGGTTGATCTAGTTGTCATAAACTGTCAAGCATATTTTCTACACATTTCTATAAGACTTTTTGTAAATTTGCCATGAATTGTGCAAGTGAATCTTGACTTTCACTAATGAAGAGAATGTAGATCAGCTAATGATAAACCAGTTCTCTGAAATAGCTCAAAGGTGCATCTCATGAACCTTCAATTGGAATGCATAGACAGAGGGCAACACATGAGTTACAAATTCTGACAATGGATATTTCCTCCCCTTTGGCCTGGTAAATCAACAGTAGCTCTGTGGCCGATGACATTTCAACCACACCTTCTGCTTTTGGTCAGGTTGAGGCCAGCCTCATTCACATATACTGCATGAAGTTGTGAGATGGTTCACTTGACTCCAATTCCACGTTACATTGCAAGGGAAGATATTCACTGTGATGTAGACGAGAATCTGTGGACCGACAGACTGGCATGTCAGGAGATGTAGACAGACTACACTGCAATTCCTCATACAGTGCTGCATGCAAAAGCAAAGTTCTGCCTAAGGGGTGTTTTCTGTGTTTGCCTTTCTAATTTTTATTTTATTTTCGCCTTTGTGCCCATATTTATTTTCTATCACATTGACGTTGTTAAGGTTTTTTTTTGTCAGACCACTAGTAAAGTGTAACTGTGAATCCTATCTAGTCTCTTTCAATCAATATCCCACATACAATAATGTGTAAATGTGCACTTTTGAAATGGATATATGACATACATAAGAAGTGCAGCATTCTGCATTTCAATACAGTAACTGTCATCCAAACTGTTGCCATAGTTTACATCAGGTAATACTATGCACATACTTCTTTGCAAATATTAAGGATGATTCGAGAAATGCACCAAAGCGACTGTGAAAAATTGTAATGAAGTTACAGGCCGCATCAGTAAGAACTTGGTCCTTTGTTCACTTCATTTTACCACAGATTAGTTTATAAACAAAGCACAATTCAAAGCAGAATTTTCAGAAAGACTGAACTTAAAAGACAATGCTTGGCTGACTATATTGGATCCAACAGTAATGTCGCAGCACACAAGTGTGAGTAACTGTTTTATTAGGTGATCACTACTGCTTTGTCTGTTATTACGGATCGTTTGATTGAGTTATTTATGTGTTTTTAACCTAAGGCACAGCAGCGTCCATCTGTGAAGGATGTAGGCTGTCAAACATACACAACTCTTAGCCAATCATAGCAGTGGCACTGAGCGTTTACTTCCAAGTCTACAATCCGCCACAACTATTCAAACAGAGCGTTCAGATGAGGGGGGTTAAAAACAGGACACAAAATAGCCTATTACTTCTAAATCAGGATGTTTTTTAATGTAAAAATCTTGATAATATTATAAGTGGACCAGTACAATATAAAAAACAAAGGCAGTTCATGACCCCTTTAAAGGGTTGAACATACTGTACGCCCTAAACAAACAAATGGTGTGAACGGTCACAATTAACAAATGTAAAAATATGCGCTTGACAAATAACATGACAAAATAACAACAAAGTTTAATTGAAGTCAGCAAACAGCATGCTGCCATGCTACAAAGCATGCTGGGAACTCAAATCCTTAACATTTCAGCAGTATGAACTTCTGAATAGTTTGATTAGTTGGGACAACATTTGGGGTAATTCTATAGGTACAGCAGCGTCCATCTGTGAAGGATGTAGGCTGTCAGACATACACAACTCTTAGCCAATCATAGCAGTGGCACTGAGCGTTTACTTCCAAGTCTACAATCCGCCACAACTATTCAAACAGAGCGTTCAAATGAGGGGGGTTAAAAACAGGACACAAAATAGCCTATTACTTCTAAATCAGGATGTTTTTTAATGTAAAAATCTTGATAATATTATAAGTGGACCAGTACAATATAAAAAACAAAGGCAGTTCATGACCCCTTTAAAGGGTTGAACATACTGTACGCCCTAAACAAACAAATGGTGTGAACGGTCACAATTAACAAATGTAAAAATATGCGCTTGACAAATAACATGACAAAATAACAACAAAGTTTAATTGAAGTCAGCAAACAGCATGCTGCCATGCTACAAAGCATGCTGGGAACTCAAATCCTTAACATTTCAGCAGTATGAACTTCTGAATAGTTTGATTAGTTGGGACAACATTTGGGGTAATTCTATAGGTCTGACATGGTGTTTTCTTTTTTTTTTAAACTTAGAAATTTTTTGAAAGGTTTTATAAACAGGAAAAGTTGCTTTTTTTTTACAACTTCACTGACTTCATTTAAATATTCACAGCATTATTTCAGCTCGTTTAGTGCCTGGAATCTGTATCAAAAAAGTTGCACACCTGCTTAGTGAATTCACCACAGAATATTTTCATAGTATATGAAGCAGTATATCTCAGACGATTAAATAAAATTTTATTCCTCATGAAATGACTCCTTGATGTAATATTCTCTCCACGTTCCAGGGTGGTGGACTGTCTTGGTATTCTGAATGGGGCTCAACTATTTTCCCTCAGTAAGGATGAGCTGAAAGCCGTATGCGGAAATGAGGGTTCCTGTGTGTTTAGTCAGAAAACTTTATTTACTTGATTTTATACCATTTTTACAAAGGAAACATCCCAAAAAGGAGTTTTTTTTAAGGTTTTGTTAGATTTAACTTACTTCTGTTTTTCCCCAAAATAAGGTACACACACACACACACACACACACACATTGGGGTTTTGTGTTTTCTATGTGTTAGGGTTAACATGATTTTATTCTCTACAAACTTTATATTCTATATTTTAAATCCTTACTCTACTTCTAAACCTAATCCTTGCACAACAAAAAAGCATTTATACATTCTCGAATGAATGAATGAATAAATAAATAAATAAATAAAATAGTATGATATATACGCTGTTTGGCCCAAACTTGTATCCTTAAAAATGTCAAAACATTTTTGTATGTTTTTTTTTAAATAATTTTTTAATACATTTAAAACTAAGTGTATATTTACCTTCCCTATAATTAATATCAACATATAACAATATCAAGATTAAATTAAAAAATATATATATTAATGGAACCTTCAGGGGACTGGAATCATTTGTTACAATTCCTACACACAACCCAGAATTAGCTGTGACTAATGGAAAATGTAGAAATTAGACACAAAATAGCCACTGACAAAGATTTAACACATCACTTGCTGAAGTGTATATCTGACGACTTGAGGCCCTCAGCAAACTCCATTCAGAGGATATCAAGAGAATGCCGGACCTCTATTGCACTGGTGGCCAATTCATGCGTGTTTCCAAACAGTTGCAATCTCATCTCAAAATGGCTGTTGACACGGTTTATTTGTTTATTTTTTTAATAATTTTGTCAACAAGGGTGAAATACAAAAAGACACATCATGACTACAATTAAATCGCTGAATTATTTAGAATAATTCAGAAATATGAGAAAAGAGAACATCTAAAACATCAACAAATTTAACAATGGCTTTAGTACACACATACTGTATTTACATATGCATATATATATATATATATATACAGTGGGGCAAAAAAGTATCAATGAAGACTATGTACGCATCAATACACTTTCGTTCTACTGTACGCGATTTTTTGAAGGAAGCTTAGCTTTCCACAACAAGGACTTTTTTTGATGTTCTACTTTATGTTGATAAATCTTTTACTATCTAAATTTCTGAATAAATTATATTTTTAAATTATAAATTCTAAAAATTAGACCATTTAAATTATAGATTTTAATTATAAATTCTAAATAGACTCTAGTGTCCTCTCTACAAGAAAAACACGGCTGACCCAAGCCAATGTTTGTGATAACAGCTCTAGGATGTGTCACCGCCGCGAGTCCCTCAGATCCGTACAAAGGTTTGAGTAAGGGCTGCATTGAGTGGCTGTTGTAATTCTCAGAGAGACAGGCCTGCAATCTCCAGTTTCCCAGACACAAATCCTGCTTATCTGCTGAGGGGAATCCTCCCCTCCAGTCCCTCTCTGCGGTCCAATCCCACGAGTTCCACCAGCTAAGCGCAACCATCCAAGGGGACAAAAAGCATACAGTTATATCACACAGTTGCCAAAACTGACCAATGAAAATACATGTTTTGGAAATTATCTTTGGATTTGAGTCTTCAGTAAGTTACTGTATGAAGCAGATGACGATGCATGCATAACAGTGTCAACTTCACAGCTTGTTCCACGAGAGCTTCTTAAAAACCTTACATGGGCAGAATTTGTAATTTATGGTGTCAGCCGCTACCGGTTTCAGAATGCATAATGCAAACATGCCATATCTTTGGTACAAAAGATCTGAGCCACATTGAAAGGACACAGCTTGGTCTGCCTAAACTCTTTCCCCATCCCAGAGGACTAACGGAGGGTGCCAGGAGATGAGAATCTGGATTTTGTTCATCACTTGCAGATGGTGGCCCATAATGAGTTTCTGGCCAAACAGGACATGGTAGATTTAAACAGCTCAGAAAAGTGTTCCCTAAGCAGGACAGCCTGCCAGATTGCAAAGATGTTGAGTGGGAGCTCTTAGCCATTGCATGTTGGCACACCAGGAATTTGCATTTTGTCACAAAAACATAATCTAATTGTGTAAATATCAGATACCGCTGACAGCAACATCCATCTTATACTCATGTTATTTTTTTATAGTAGATGATTTAATTCCCCCTCTTACGGCTTTCTCACACTGAATATGCAAATTGGCTCCGTTAGTCGTATTTGCCGTGATGACGTCCATTGAAAGCTCGTTCATTTTATTTGCTATGACAACGTGAAACTGCATTGTTGTCTATCTGAATCATTCCATATTCGAATTCATTCAAATGCACATCACTCAACAACTTCACATACACCGATTATTGATTCTACACAACGTCTGCTCTGCATGAAGGACTACCTTCAAATTAACAAGATCTCAGAACATATATCATCCCCCAATCCATTTAAATTTATCGCACCTCACTAATCCAAATCAGGTTTCTCAATTTGTTCTCAAGGACTGATGGATCATTAAAAATGAACAGGCATAAATTATAAAAACAGTTCATGGATTTTCATGGGATGGGCTTTGATGACAAATGTTCTAGTGTGTGATGATTATGACGAACTGGCAAAATATCATAATTCACACCACCTCCTCAAATCTCACCCCTAATGATTTAAGTGATGATATGTCATCTTAAAGCACTGAGGTGGCTGACGCACATGACAGCCCTTGTTCATTAGGTCTGATAAAATGTCCCACACAAGAAAAACATGAAAAATCAAGCACATTTGAAGGATAATACAGGCCCATGATTGCCTCACCGTATCGGTGTTTTCGTTTTCCACATCTCGCTGTGAAATACAACACGGAGGTGGTATTACGGCGAGAGTCTTTTTCGCAAGTATTATTTTCATATGATTTCATGTTGATGTCAAAAGAAATATGAGGTTTATTAGTTTCCTGGTGCTTTGTGTGCTTCATTATTTTGCCGTGACAGTTTAGTCTGGAGGAGGGAGGGGGGTGTTTTTCATTAAACGCTTGTATCGTCTCAGATGCTAATGGCAAACGTGGGGAGAGCAGGAAATTAAAACCTACATCAATACGTGAGAGGCCTTCCACAGTAACACATTTTCAGCCAGACTCTCAATTCATTATATGCTAGAGTGCAAAACATAGACTGCCGTATGTTTTTCCTATTCTGTTTTTATCGATAAGCGACAAAATCCACCGTCCGCAAGCCTAGTGTCTTGGTGTCTGTCACCGAGGATATTTCAGTAAGAAGACTGATGGTATTCGGTGGTAATGTAAAGCTTTCGCAAACTATTCACAATCCAAACATTCATCAACTCACCTCTGTCTTTTTTCCCTTTTTCATTACTGCTGATAGGAGAAGGAACACAAAACACATTTGGGCCCTCTGCGCTCCATAAAGAATATAATCAATTCTTTATTATTGCATTCGGGAGGCTTGAGGGCTGTCAAGCTGAGGAAAATGATATTGCTTGAGACTAAGAGAAGATAAATTCACGTGTGGAGCTTTGCTAATGGCGAATGGGATCAGGCACTGTCCGGTTTGTCTGAGTCACGTTACTGATGATAAACGACAGGCCGACGATGACCCAAGGAGCGCCTGAGATGACAACGTGACAATGTTCAACTGCGGCATGATAGCAAGAACAGATATCAAACCGTTTCCTCTGTCGAGATCCCCTGGGATCTCAGAAAACGCACATTAACCAGCCCTCCAGACAGGTGGTAAATCCTCTTGACGTGTTTATACTTATTTTATAGCCACAACAACCACATTAAAGGATGGCAGCTGGAGAGCCAGTATTTCAGCAGGTCGGCCTATGTTTGTGTGATGACGGTCTCCATAGTGACCTGAGAGGTAGCATCTTTGAGAGCAAGTTGCCAGAGTCAATGAAGCAACAAACATCAAAGGAAACTAGCATTTGCATGTAGGAAATAATCAAGCAGTGTCTGGAGACATGTTCACACTGCTATCAATAATTAATCGAACTCGGCTTTATAATAACTGACAGCTCCTCTGTTCTCCCGCATGCTTTCTGGTAATTTCCCCTTTTTCATCTGCAAACCTGAGCAATGGCTAAGCACAAAAGAATCAATATAGCAGAAAACAAGGAATTCTGACAATTTTATAGCTGCGCTAAACTAATCTCAGACTGGGAGTCGTTCCATTAAACTCCAATATGACTCCTCCAGGCCCAACTTCTGTCATCAAACGCTAAACATTAATTGGTTTATCAAAGGTTAATTGCTCAATAGATACTAGGCAGTTGGAATTTAATTGTGCCATTAAATGTTCTCGCTAGAGCCCCGGGTTCGGGTAATGGATTTTGTAATTCTAATGAAAATATTATTTGGTGGCAGCTGGACTGATAACAGTGTTGAGCATTGACAGGTCCATGCCCTCTCACACAGTGTCTGTCACACAGGGACAATATACAGAAGCGCATGAGTACACATGCTCGCTGCAAACAGTGATCGTATTTAGCTATGCATTGTAAATCTAAATGGCTCATTCTTCACTATGGCAGACTTGTCTTTCTGTGCCGGATTTTATGAATGCATTTGCGTCTGCCATTAGGGTGTAACACATCAAAAATGGGATGAGGAAATTGCATGAGCCACGCTTGGGCAAAATTCAGAATTGAGCTTACGCCATTTTTGGTTCATGAGTGTGAATTTGAATTACAGTGGCCATGCTGACAGGAAGTTGAATTGGAATGACAGGAAAGGGATTTACTGAACTGCAATTCAAAGAAATTCAATACAAGTAAGGCATTCGGGCAAACAAAGTGTTTCTCTAGGTAACTTTGTCAACGTTTAAATTCTGTCTCGACCAATATTCAAATAAATAATTTGTTAAATTGCTTGATTTGAATTTAAATTCATTTTAAATTTGAATTGCAATTCTGCATCCTTTTGCTCCCTCAATTTAAAATCAAGAATTTAGTAGAAATTTAAAAGTCATTCACAATTCAGTTCTGAGTACTGCGCTGTCCTGGCATGGCCACTGATATGGAAAAAAAGGACCAAAAAATAAAAAACAAGAAAGATTA